CCCGCAACAAGCCAAAAACAAACAAATCCCAAAACCCAGTGCTTTACTGTTGTATAGATAAGGCACTTCAGTGGGGCTTTTTGACGCTTTTATCCAAAGATGATTTAATGAGCTATTAGATAAAAGTGCCAAGAAGCCTCGCTGAAGCACCCGATCTACACAGATGTTGGGTGAGCCAGAGCAAACTAACATAATGCCTCTTCTGGGCATGTGCTGCACTCAGTGCAGGGGTGTGCCTAGCTGGAAATAAAGCACTGGTTTGGTTTTTTTACATCTCATCTGTAAGCAGTCCAGAATTTTATTTTTCACAGGTACAATTAAAAAGAAAAGGGTCTGTAGTTAAGAAACTCCCATGCTAAATCTGCATTCCTTTTTACTACCAAGTTGACCCCAAAACATTAAGAAGGCTGAGCTTCTGTAGCCAGCTGGGCTTGGAAAATGGTTACATGTCTAAGTAATTACAGGCTCAGCAGTGCTACACCCGAGATTCCAGGGTTGAGGGCAGACACGTTACAGGGTCTGCATCTAAAGTGAACTTTAGAGATTGAGAACAAGAAAAGAGTCAGAGGCCAGCTCCAGGAAGCTCAGAAGCTCGCAGGATTCAGTGGTTGTACCCAAACACAAGATGGCCTCCACGCTAAGAGCAGGATGCAGGTAGACTGCAGTGCTTACCTTCTCTCCTTGCTCTCTGGAAACCTGTCTTTTGTCATTTGCATCACATTTGTTTCCAAGAATCATCTTTTCAACATCTGGGGATGCATGCTGTAATGGAAATTGGTTTAATACTAAGAATTATTTGTGTAAATCATTTGCTGGTTCTTACAAATACATTTACCCAACATATTAATGCACATTATACCTTTAAAAAGAACATTATGTTCTGTACACAGTTAAGGATGGCAGGCCAGGACCACAGCCTAATCCAGTGATTCTCAAACAGCATGCCGCAGTACCCCAGAATGCTGCAAGATCATTTACAGGAGATGCGAGTTGATAAGAGAAGGGCTCAGGGTCCAGGTGTGAGGAAGCAAGCCGATAGAGCAGGCTCTCCCTGCCTGGCTGCTCCCCTGCCCCCATTGCCCAACCCCTCTACAAAGAGGGTAAGCATTGTAATAAATTAAATTAATTTTTGAAATGGGGTGTCATTCAATTCACAAAAGTTATGAAGGGGTGGTGCCTTAAGTCTCAAAATGTTGAGACCCACCAGTGTACTCGCTCCTCTCCCCATTCTGAACCTGCCAAAGCTGGAATTATAAAATTCCCCTCTGCCGTATCTGCTGCTGTTTTCTGCCTGTGGCCCCATGTCCCTTGCTCAACGTGTTGCATACTGCACACAGAGGCTGCCCATGGCAGATTGGCCACTCCCAAGTTAGAATATTGTTAATTAGAAACCTTTATCAGTTAAAATACCCAAGTAAGAGGAAAGGCCATGGTTTGTCCAGCTTGACCTCAGATATGAATAGAGTGAATTATTAGCAGTAAATTCCAGAAAGGGTTGCCAAGTTGGCATCAAAAATGAAAATTACATTTCTTCCCACTCTCCTTAAGATTCTCTCAGACCACAAGTAGACAACGAACATAAAATGTGAACTCCAGCTATTTTTCCAAAGTCTGCATGGAAGCTATATTTTTTGTAGATACTAATAAAAACAAAAAAGGTACAAAGAAATTACCTCTTCGATATTCCGGACCCAATTCCGAATATTTTCAAATGATTTTTCATTGGTGATGTCATACACTAACATGATGCCCTATAGATTAAAGAAAACCTGACTAGTTAATTTTAACTAATGCTTATTTCAGCAAGGATGCTAAATAAACCCAGTACAGAAAGAACGTAACTCGTTATGTCAATGTTGAACGGAACAAAAACAAATGCACGCGTTACTTCTAAAGCCAAGCTAACTTGCCAGACACAGTGTCATGGAAAGAAAAATCCCCTACACGCTAAACTAACCCATTTTGCTAGGTATAATTAGACTTATTTGCAGCTTGGGTTTTCTTTGGCAAGACACGTGTCCTTTATTCATCTCTCACTAACAAGCCTTTACACAAGGATGTATGCAGCAAGTCTTATCGGCATTCTGACTGCGGAACTCCCGCGTCACCAGCTGCACTACTAAGGGATGGAAGACCCGGCCGGAAGGGACGTGTGGTCGAGCGCGGTTCAACGAGGACCGGTTACACAGGCTCCGTGACAAGCCCTGGATGCTCACAAACGGTCCTAAGCTGTGGTCTAAGCCCACACGGCCCTTACCATGGCTCCTCTGTAGTAGGCCGTGGTGATCGTTCGGAACCGCTCCTGGCCGGCAGTGTCCCTGAAACACACGTTAGCGCGTGAGAACAGCGCACCCGTCTCCTGACGGGACAGCCGCCAGCAGCCTGCCCCCAGCTGCGCGGGCACGCTCTCGCACAGCAGCAGAAGGGCACGGCCCCTCCACCAGCCCGCTGCCGAGCCGCGCCCCCAAGGACCGCGCAGCCAAGGGGGCCGCGGCGCCAGGCGGGTGGGCGCTCACCAGATCTGCAGCTTGATCCTCTTCCCCTCCAGCTCGATGGTTCTGATTTTGAAGTCGATGCCTGGGGGGGAGCCGCAGTGTGAGTACCTGCGCAGGGGCCGGGCCCTGCCCCTAC